ATGCAGTTTGATCGTTCTTTTCTCTTTACTGTTATCACCGGCATATTGTCAAAGTGTCTAATTCTAACATTTGGTAATATTTCTATTCAAAATCGCAATTCCTCGATTTCAAAAAAATTAAATCGTGGCAAAACAATACATTCGAATTAATCGATAAAATCGGGAAAATCGCCCAGCCCTAATAGCCGATATGCTGATGGTTGTAAATTGAGGAAAAATCGGCCGATAAATATCGGCGGCCGATACATCGGTGCATCCCTATTTTGTATTTAGTTATATTTTATTTTAAAATGGGCTTAATTACCTATCTGGCCAGAGAGTATAGGTAGCTTCTGGATGAAGAAGACATTGATGCCATTGACTGGCCCTCACAATCCCCAAACCTGAATCCAGTTGAGAGCCTCTGGGATGTTATGTATTGGAGCATTCGAAGCAGCCAAGTAGCACCACAGACTGTCCAGGAGCTCACTAATGGCCTGATTCAGGTCTGGCAGGAGATCCCCCCCATGCAGGACACCATGCATACACTGTCTCCTCAGGAGCATACCTAGATGCTGTTGACAGGCACGTGGGGTCTATACACACTACTTACTTACATTATAAGCTGCTTTGATGAAATTCAGCCTGTAATTCAGTCTTTTACTTCGATTTTCGGTGTGATTTTGAATCCAGCCATTTTTGGGTTAATGTTTTTAGTTTCCATTGACTATTGTCACATAGTATTGTTCTCAACAAATTACGCAATGATAGGTTGATTACTCTGAGCATCCAGACCAGCAACAGTGGCTCATCCAGTGGAGTTAGTTTTGGGCGTGGCTATCTGATACTAAAGGGCTCATGAACTGAGAAACCAAAATACCCTTGATCTTTTGACATATAAAAGGTCATTGTACTATAAAAACATCCTGTAAGTTTCAGAACTCAAAACTTTCTTGTTAGACTAAAAACAGTTTATATTGAAGGCAGTCTGCCAAAACGACAGCTTTTGGAATGTTCTATTCTATGTTGTAGTAGTGTGGATAAGCACCACCTCCGCAGAAAAACAACATTAAAAATCTTACTGTTCAAAAACTTTTGACTGGTAGTGTAGGCTGATTATTCTTATAGATAGAAACAAATGTGCTTTAGCCAGTATAAAGAGTATGAAAAGTGATCTGAGTTGCTGCAGAAAAAATTAAATAAATAAAAGAGCTACAACAAAAACATGTTGCTGGAGACGGGCTTTTGAAAATGCAAACTGATTGTCTGCCAGCAGGGAGGTGCTTGAGAGCGGCAGAACTAGCGGTTTCTCCAGTAATGGCTGTAATCAAAGGAGCTCCGCTCATGAACACTTCTTTATCAGATAAAATGAAAATGCCATCAAAACTTTTCTGAAGACAGTCCTTTCCCTTCAGAGATACATTCATAAAAAACAACCGTGCCGTGTTTTGATTTTGAAACGTGCAGTGCTCATGTTTATGCAATGAAGTCAAACGCCACAAATAAATCAATGTAT